CTCTCCTGCTCTGCCTTCACAAGGTGGCCTTAGGGACAAATTTTCTACAGTTCAGTTCCTCACGACATTCCATTTTCCATGTATTGCTAGAACAATTTTTATTTGTATTCCCATTTTTTAACAACAAAACCTGCTATGCAGAATGGCTGCAGTAACTGAGAAAACCTGATGATGTTTATCTGATAATCCACATCTAAATACTCCAGACCTACTGTAGGATACACTTAATTCATTTACCCCAGATCAAATCTTTTGATGTGTGAGAGCCTATTTCCTTACAAAAGGGGTATCTTGTCTCACATGTACATGGAAACCCTTATAACTGCAATTGATATTGAGCTTCAGTTACTCTAGTTTCCTAGTTTCTGCTTTCAAAGACAGATGTGACCAGGACGTAAGGATGTCTTTAATTGGTGGAGTTATGGCTTTCATATTCCCAACCCACATTCCACTGCCACTTCAAACAAAGGATATAGGAGGATTATGAAATCATATATCTGACTGTGTTCTTTGCATTGACTTAAAAGCTCTTACCTTCTCATATTTAGCAAAGCCACCCATAACAGCTGGATCAACAATTCCATTCAGAAGCATAGAAAGTGGATTAATAGGAAGGTTCTCGTCGCTCTGGTATTGGTTAATCATCATCAAAATTTTTTCATTTGTCGTGGACATAGTCTCAATAGCATTCTCTAAAGGACTAATTGTAGTCTATAAAGAAACAAAAGACTTCTAAGGTTTATAAAGGATAAAAAGGTCATTTTGGTTTTATAAAGCTTCACATATATGAACAACATTCCTACAATTCAGCAAACCAATACAGATTTGTTCAATTCTCTTAGGACTTGGTCCTGAAACTATAAATCAGATGTCAGATATATTAATCCTAGCAGCAGAAAGATAAAATATAAGTAATAACAGTTTTGTATATATAAAAATACGTAAATAACAACAGCCTTGTGGGATAAATTTGCGAACTGTTTTACATAAGGATTCATATAGATACCTGTTGTACTGGTTCTTCACATGTTAATACACACCTGTGACATGGAGACAACCTCAAACCATCGTAAAATTCCAGGAAGTTTGTATGCTGTAACAAATGATGTTCTCTCAATCCACATTGACTATTAAAAAAACATAGCAGGGAGAAAATGATACATCAGGATTTAAACTTTAATCTTTTCTGCCTTCTGAAATGTCAAAGTGAAGAGAATGTAGATGGAAAACATATGCACATTTTTGCATAAATGACACTGCAAAATGAATCTGGCACAGCAATTTACACAAATCATTTTTCTGATTTCAGATTAGGTCATCCTCAGGCACTAAGCCTGCACAAAGCAGAGGAAAAAGCAAATTACCCTTGAGTCTTTTAGTACCTATTCCTATTTTTGCCATTACAGATTGAATGACTGCGACTAAATGACCTACTCTCACCTCTACCCAGATTATACTTCCCTCCTCCACTTTCAAAATGTATTTCTACAATTAAAAGCAGTAATAGCCCTATAACAGCTTGCCAGCATTCTTACTTTTTTTTTTTTCTTTTTCTTCCTTTCTTTTTCCTCTTCTGAACAAGACTAGCTGTTGATATTTTAAAATGCCACTAGTTCATTTACTCTACTGCTCTGTTTTACCAATATCAGCTCATCTAAACTGCCAGGACTAAAAAACATAACAACGAATGCAATGAAGACATACTCCAACTATCCCAATTTCCACCTATCTGAAGTAAGTATGCATATTATCTATTGTCATGAGTAATGAAAACATTAACGATTGAACTTTTGTAAAACTATTTCAAGGTATATTCATAAATGGTTTCACAACCCTTCAGTTTGCAAAGGAAGCCAATGTGCATCACGAGTCTTGATAATACAGTGCAAAACTGGGATGTTAGGGTAGAGTTTGCATCTGAAGCATTTAATTTAACAGCAGCTACGGAGCCCCTTCCATGAAACTGTTGACACTACTAAGCAGCACGCACATAACTGAAATTGTACATTTTTTCAATGAATGGCTTTTACCATCAGTATCCCAAGAGCACAGCTTTAGCCATAAAGACTGGATAGTATGGTTTTCACAACAAACTATATAATACTGGATAGCTGTAAAATTAAAATATAGAAACTTACCATATTTTTATGCATGACACTGGAAAATAATTTATGGTGTTACAGATTTCCTAGAATATTTGAACAGTGAAGCCTATTTCTCAGCATTACAGCATTATCCATGGGAAATGGGTAGTACTGTAGTCTGTCAAGATTTCACAGGACTGGTGAAAGCAGATACCACACACCTCTCATTGCCAAGCTGGCAGCTGACAAAAGCATTGTAAGCTTCAAGAGGCAAACTATTTGATATTTATTTACATGTCATCTTGTTTCATAAAGAAAATCTGTACCAGAAAATGTTACTGCTTAACACACGTATGTTGAACATAAGTACATCATGTTTACCAGCAACTGAAACAGTGATGTACTATTAACTACATAGGAGTAGTGCTGAAATAGAGAAATCTTGCATTTGTTTTTTTCAAACCAGACTCTAAAGTTAGGGTGTCTGTAATGAGTAATCTGAGACTAAGAACGGATCTAGATCACAATTCAGTCACAGCTACCAGAACTGCATCCATCACCCTCTCATTCATTTACTTACAGCAAATTCATTTTCAGGGTCAACGGATCCTTTTCTGACTGGTCTTGAATAGTGGAACCGGTGCACATTGTTAGACTTATAAAAACTGAAAGATTTAAAAAAGACTGTTGTGAAACACAGAATTCAGAAATTTATGGATCTTGTTATCACCATGAAATATTTCATTTTGAGTCAGTCAAGTTTTTAATTAAAAGCAAATTTACTGTTCAGAAAAAAAGCACTTTTTTTCTGTTTTCACTAAACTCAGGAAACAACTACTTTATCTATAAATCAGAGTCAACATACTGTATTTTACAAGTATTAAGCTTCAGGTTGTGACTGGGTGTAATTTCCAGGTATGAAAATTCCAGAACTTCCATATGAATGTTAAAACTTTCAGCAGAAGGTATAGAAAAGATTTTTACTTTCCTGTATTCTTGCTGTGGCTTGCACACTGCTTGCCTGCTTTATAATGGCGCACAAAAAGGAGTGTATTTTGTTAAAAATAACTGCCTGAACAGAGCAGATATTCACCTGGACTGAAATACATGTGTTCTTTCATCCGTGGTGCACACCAAATCAGTTTAATAATGTCTAACAACTCTGCTCACAATGCAGAACAATAGTTATTCAATAAACAAAACATTGGAAGCCATTATTAACAATTTATTGTGATAGATAAGAAAATGTGTATAAATACTTGTAGAGGGGGACATCAATGTAAAGCACCTATTGCAAATTCCTCAATGGTCTATTCTCTTTAGCTAATGAACTGTTCTCAATCACTGTGAGCACATATTTCCACTAAACTTGTAACTACTTGGCTTTTAGCACTGGCTAATCTGAAAGAACAGAGATCGCACAGTTTTGGCTAAGTATTTTGCTGTCCACAGAAAAATCTCCCCTTTTGTTTTTCAGTTTTTGTTTTAAAGATGAATTAAATTTAAAGCCATGTTAAGTAAAAGCTAATTTTGCAGAGAAAAGAAAAATCTCAGAAATACCCTACAGTAAAACCAAGCCATGTTTTGGAAGCCTAGACAAACAAATAAACAGAGACCCCAAACAGTTGAGCTAAGCAAACTTCCGCTACATTCATAAGAACCTATGACTTCTGAGCCAAACTAGTAAAATTATCTTCATCAATAAAGAAAAGAAAGTGGAAAATACTGCCGTACTGAGTCAGATCACCATCAGTTTCACCTGAAAGGACAGATGTTTTGAAGCCTTTTTGATAAAATAAATGCATTGCCATCAACTAATGTAACTAGCAATTAAATACCCAATAAAGTACACTCATAAAAATAAATCTCTAAGACCAGATGAAAATAGCAGTTTGCTTGAATTCTGCAGCTGAGACAAACAATTGCAAAATCTCCCAAACTGTTACAAGTTCAAAATGTGGCTGGCACTACACTGAAATCTAGTCAAACAGGACTAGATTTGTAAGCTATCTTTCAGTTACTGATTTTAAAATGAATTCAGGTTGAAACTGGGATGAGAGGGGTTTCTTGGGGTTGTTTTTGGTTTTTTATTTGTTTTTGCTTGTTTGCTTTGTGGGTTTTTTTTTTAATCTTGTAGTACAAGACCTGTGCTTGTATCTTCTTTATTTATTTTGGTGTATGTGGGGAGGTGATTCCTTTTTTTTCCACTCTGAATCAGCTGCAATTTCAGTAAAGAATCTACAGAGAAGGCTGCAGACAAAGGTGACCTCTGGTTTGAATCCAGCTGTGGAACCGTTAGAAATGAACTCATCTCAGCTGATAAAAAGTAGTCTTCTATCTCCAGCCTCTTTTTGGAAAGTCATAACACAAGTGGTGTTAAAGGGTTTAGTCTGAGGTTTTGTTTGTTTAAGCATGGAGGCATTGCAAAGCGTCTCTTGCATTAAAAAAAGTGGGTGCCTCAGTTTACCTGGAGAAATTTTAGCTTAAGATGCCTCTTTTAACCAATTTCAATTAGGGACATACAGTCATACCTTGGCCTTTCACAAGGCACTGACAAGAGTAAGGAGAGAATATGGCTTGCCTTAACTGACAGTGCTTGTCTTTTGGCTGTCCTTAAGTTATGAGCTAACAAATACTATCTTGAAATTTTTCATTCAGGTGTTAGTGATAAGCAACAGCTTTTATTGACCATGTTTGCAACCATATAAACCATAGAATGGTTTGGTTGGAAGGACCTTAAAGCCCATCCAGTTCCAACCCCCTGCCATGGGCAGGGACACCTCCCACCTGACCAGGTTGTTCAAAGTCCCATCCAGCCTGGCCTTGGACACTTCCAGGGATGGGGCAGCCACAGCTTCTCTGGGCAACCTGTGCCGCTGCCTCACCACCCTCACTGGGAAGAATTTCTGTCTTTTATCCACTCTAAACCCACCCTTCCAGTTTAAAACCATTGCCCCCTATCCTGTCACTACAGGCCTTGGTGAAAAGTCTCTCTCCATCTTTCTTATAATACCCCTTTACATATTGGTGGATTTGGAGCCAAAAATCTCAGAAGCCTGAAGTCAGCCAATATTCCAGTACATACTGTATGCAGTTTTGGCATCAGCTATTAGAATGAACCATCACTTTTCACACATGTAGTCAGAACACTTGATTAGGAGCATGTAATAAGTTCAACCGGTTCTATATCAGGTTAGGAGTTTGGAAATGTTAGCCAGTCTGTTCTCAAAATACTTTGGACAATTAATTTATTTTATTCCTTTACAAAATCTTGACTATAGTACTGATGGGAACCATTTTGCCACCATGTCCTTTATACTTGGCAAGATAAATCATAACAAGATTCTGTTGTACGAGAGCCTTCAACTCAACCATCCTCATACTGCTAGTCACCTCTAAGACCCCTCTCTCCATCACTTGTCTAAGAAGCTGTGTTGAAAGTAACTTGGACCCAAAGCATGGATTCCACCTCCCCACCCTGTAACCATGTGCTATTCCCTAAGTGGCAGATGGGCAGATGTTCTTTCATGAAATTCCTTGGGAATACATAAGTCAGTAAACTACAACAAAAAAAAGCTCTAAGATTCATTGGGAAATGACTGAGTTCACAAAATAATGGTTGTCAGTTTAGGAATACGGACTAACCTTTATTATATTATCTATTACAGAAATTCACTTACTTTATAATTTGATCAGGTACTGCCTTATTTTTGAATCTGGGTTGCTCCTCCAGGACTGGTTGCACTGTAAAACACTGGATATCTGGAATCACGGAAGTTAAGGGTATGTTATTAACTATCAGTATGAAATACTGTAGGCTGTGAGGGGAAATAAAAATAAAAAAAATGAAAAAGACATTTCCTGATGAAAAAGCTGCAGGGTTCAGGATTTCATTTGTGGAGCTTTCTTGGCCAAAAAAAGGAAAAATCTGCCAGTAGTAACCAGTGAATACATATTAATATTATTTTTTGCATATTTTTATTAGGTACTGAGCTTGAATATCTGTAGCTGAATTTATCACACTGAATCATTCATTAAATTTTGAAGCCCAGCCAACTTACAAAAATAACGTCAACAACATCTGATGTTAACAGTTTCACTATTTAGCTTTAGGTATGCATGTCATGATGTTAAGCATTTCGTCTTTGAAATCTGTAATTGAGCAGCCCTTTTACTTGAGATTTCCTTTTTCTATGGAAGTGGTATTTTTTAATCTGAATACTGTATATGTAAGTAAATATATCATATTCTTACATATTTCAGTGTATTTGAAACTCATGCCTCTGGCTAGATTCCTCAGCTTTTTCTTAAGTGCGTAAGTAGTGCATATCTCCTGTTAGTTGCAAATAGGTTTGAGTAAATTCTACTTTAAGAAAGGACTGAAGCATATGATCTCAAAGAAATAAAATTAAGACACAAGACAGACTTAAGAGAGCTTGGCTCCCAAGCTTAATGTACTATTTTAGGCTAGCCTGTGATACTCTCTGCTTCAGTCCCAACAGCGTGGAAAGCAAGCAGGACTCCTTTCCCCCTCCAGCAGGTTCCCTCAGAATAGACTCAAGATTGAGCATGTGAAGTGTCACATTACCTTGAAAATTAATAAAGCAAAATCAACACATGAAAAAGTGTGATACAATGAGGTGATCTCATATCTGCTCAGCCAGTAATGATTTAAATCAGAACATAAAAAAAAAGATAATGTGTGCAAACAATCGTCAGAGTACTTCTAAACAAGAATAATTTATGGCATTCTAAAAAGTGGTTAATGATGTTTATGAGTTAATTTTCCTAAGGAAATTTCTGAGAGTGACATAAGGCATATTTATGTTGCCAAGAAATACAGGTGATACCCAAGTGCAGCGCCACTCAGAATAATATTCAAGGAACACACAAATTTAGTATCAAGATGCAACAGCTAGGAATGTGAGGTAATAAACAATTTGCTGCTTTAAACTTGGCCAATTCAAGTGTTCATCACTGGTTTTGCCATTTGAAGAAAACAAAGTAAACCATGTATGAACTTCAATGAGTTCTCTTCACTGAAAGGGTTGTCAAGCACTGGACCAGGCTGCCCAGGGAAGTGGTGGAGTCACCATCCCTGGAGGGATTTAAAAGACGTGTAGGTGTGATGCTTAGGGACATGGTTTAGTGGTGGACTTGGCCGTGCTAGGTTTATGGTTGGACTCAATCTTAAGGGTCTTTTCCAACTGAAACAATTTTATGACCACTGAAAGAGACTCCTTAGAATTGTGAGAAAAACAGGAGCAAACATCTCAGGAACAAACTGTAAAAGACATGCGGGACATATAAGTAAAACTGCAAACTGAGCTGCCACGTTAATAAACTTTCATCCTTTTCAGGAAATGATTGTTCCACACAGACAAACTTTTGCTAAAAACAAGGTATCCCCAGTCCTCCTTTGTTCTGTAATGTCCCATGTTTTCAAGGATACATTGACCAGCAGAGTTTTTCACATCCTCTCCAGGTGCTGAGGTGGTGTTCATCTTCTCTGCGCTGGGAAACTGACTCATCAGCTGGGCCTGGAAATCCTCTCTCCTCTCGTATTCCTTCCCACGATAGATGAATACTTTGTTCTGCAAGGAATAAACAGCTGATTTCTCGGGCCGTGCAATGCTGAAGCAGAAGTTATAGATGCATGTTTGTCAGTACAAACACACAATGAGGTCTCCAAATTTTGGAATGAGTGTTCCTGTTTTTTGATTATTAATTAACTATAAACCAAGACACCATTTTGACCAGGTGTTGGAATGCAGCACTGACTCTCCAAAGACTCTGCTTTATGCTGTTAGAATGAAGATAAACTGGCATCACCACTGAGGACGCTCCTGTAGAGCAGAATAAAATCAGAAGGGGAGGTAAGAGAAGTAGTGGAATTCCTTTTTTTCTTGTCTGTCAAGTAAAAGTATTTGCTTTCAAATATATTCTGGGCCCAGGTTTCACAGCTTTCTAATACCAATATAAAGGTTCTCTCTGCCTGCTCCTTCTCCTTGGTATTATGAAATGTCCTCATTTACAATATCATCTAACCCCAAATGTGCTCATTTGTGGTTCAGTTTGCATTGTTTAACAGGATACTTCTATAATACCAAACCAAGAGGTTCATGCTTCCTTTGGTGTAATATTAGCATGTTGTTTCACTATTTTTCCAATGTTTTCAAGGTAACTTTGGCCTTTAAAACTGGGAACGAGAGGTCTTTCCTTACTTTTCAAGTGTGAGGAAAGCTACCATGTTCATTGTACTATGTAAGAAAAATGATTTTTTTTTCCTACAAGAAAACATCAAATACTCTGGTTAGATTTATGCTCTGAAAACATGCACTACTGTGGTTAAAAGAAAGCAATGATCTTTTAAAAAACTAAAGTAAAAGCCAGTTGTGCATGACTTCCTAAGTTCGGCAGGTTTCTTGAAAAAACAGGCCCTTCGGATTCTTGATTTCTTACACGGTAGTCAAAAACGAAGAAAAGTAAAGAAAACAGGGAGCAGATTCAGGGTATAGAGGTCTGTTTAATGAAACCAGTTCAAACTTATCATAATTGTCCTAAGATATCAATTAGTTATTACCATTCAGGAAAAAACAGAGTAATACAAGACAGATGATATGGACATGTCAGCTCAATGCATATTAGAGATCAAAAAAGCAATCTGAACTTCAGTCATTATGACAGAAAGAGGAAAACAAAAGAAGAAACATCAGTATCACATTGAACAAATTCATAGTGTATCCACATTTCAAATACTACGTACACTTCTTGTCCTACCATCTCATGAACTAGGAAATGGACAGCAAGGGAACCAGGACATTAAAACATACGGAATGGTTGCTGTGGAAGCAATGTTTAAACAAACCAAGACTATAAGGAATGGTTTGTCATGAATGGCATGAGGAAGGTGATTAAAGAACAACTGTTCAGTCTGTCTGTAAGAACTTGGGTAGAGAAATTACCAGATGACAACAAAAGGGCAACAGTACATCAACACACACAGTTGTGTACTGTGAGGCCACAGTATGTTCTGGAGGGCACTAGTTCAGAAAGTGACTGGACAAATTCACTGTAGAACAATCCATGACGGGCTAGAAAACATAACTGTCACCTCCAACCCAGGAAGCTGTTTGTCAAGTAACTAGGGAATATATACCAGGTCAATATTGCTACACATCTGCTCTATAGTATACTCTTCCCTACCCTACCCATCTACTGTTTCCCACTGTTAAAGACACAATATTTGGCTATAGAGTGTATTGGTCTGAAAAATATGCTGTTTCTACATTCGTAATGTATTTCAGTTGTAGCTGAGAAGCAACATAAATCTGAAACTCTTGTCAGTTCTTGATAAGGTCCAATAAAAATACCAACCTCATGTGAAACAGAATTTTGGATTTAATTTGAACACAAGTTAATGATGTTCTACTAGTTATCGACAAACTGTATGGGGACTAATCTGAGAAATATGTACCATAAGAGCTGCCCACACCAGATTACATCACATTGCTGCATTTGGCTGTAATATATCACCTTTACTACCTGACAGATATTCTAGTTTCCACAATCAAACTAAGAGAAAGAATCAACTTAAACCCATCAGAAAACATTTCATGCATATTCTTACAAGTAACAATTTGGATTTTGACTACAATCCTGCATCCAAGCAAAACTAAATCCATGACAACTATCCCCAGAGACTCACTTGCATCAGTAGAGTACACTCATATTTTTAGAAGCATATGAAAATAGATGAAAAAAGTAAGAATTTAAACAGGTTTACCCTTAGAAATGTGGGGAATCCTTGGCCATAATATCCAACAGCAAAATAGTCTGGTTTAGGTCTCAGAATTTTCATGATGTTTTCATAGAACTTTGCTTGTTGAATCTGAAAGCAAAACCAACTGCAATTACTTCTGTTTCGTTTTTTTTTCATTTATTTTTTAACCTCTGCAGTAGTCCTACGCTATGTACTACAGCTATTAGTGGATATGCAAGAGCTATTAATTATCTTTTGGTAAGCTATAGCAATAACCATTTAGCATGCACATGACACTGCTGGGGTACATTAAATACTTTTTACATTTATATGCAAATATAATACATAGCTAAATGTGTATGGCTTCAACTTTAATTATTTGACCTCAGAATCAGGTCTACCCTTAATTTACTAGCGTGAAAGGAAAAAAAGCAAACACCAAAGTCATTTAAACACTTAACTGATAACACTATTGAAATAATTCATTTGGAAAAACTCCCTGCCTCATATGTCTTCTGAGGTATGGATCAACTCAAACTTTTGCCCTTGCATCATGCTAAGGACACACAGCATGTAAAGGACTTAGAAGAAGGTATTCCATAAAACACTAAGCGTCATTTAGGTTTACTACTTTTATTTCCTGTGTTATGAGACATGCAACACTGCAACTTCAATGGAATTGCCAAAAATATTGTATTTATTTTTTACTTTATGATAATAGCAGAATTGATTGGGAAGAAAAAAAAGCTTTCTTTATACACAACACTGCTCAAGAGCATCACGTTTTGATTCCCATGGTTTCTTTGTGAAACATTCAGGGATATCTACTGAATGAGCCCTAAACATTTGTTAAAGATCACACAAGTGTGGAATCTTGGGGGTGGGGAAAAAAAGGTATATGGGGGAGGGGATTCTTTTTAGATTGATTAAGGTTTAATGAAAAACAAATAATTGAACATTTAATCTTCCTTTTAAATCTTTCTTCCAGCCTTTGGACCTAGCTCTAATTCCTTGTGATGTATTACTTCCCCAGTCTCTGATTAGGACAGAATTTTTTAGGCTTGTCAAGATTCGAGTTCTTAAAATTTAAAGAAAAATTTCAGGAAAAAAATGCATCCAGGTGCTTTTTCTACACTAAAGCAGTACAAAGGCCTCAGAGACCTGTTATATTTCTTTTATACATGGCCTACAAATTGCGCTAAGCAAGAACATGTTTATTTCATCTACAGAAGTTTCAAAATATCTCAGTAAGCAGAGGTCCCCGCAACTTTAACAAACAGTTCTTTATGAATCTTTACCACTGGAGTGGTACAATAAAACACAGTAACTCTTTGACAAATTAATTAAAAATCAATTGTAGACAACAAGCTCAGAAGCAGCTCTATCATTTGATAGCTCAAAAGTACTAATTTCTGTGACTGAAATAATTTGGAAACTTGTATGTGTAATCTTACCAGGTTTTGACTTAGAAGTTCATAGTCAAAAACTTCCTTTTCATATTGCTCTGCAAGTTCTTTGCATAAAGATATGGCTTCTTCCCACATCTGCAATGCAACCACATATTCAAAAAGTAAATCCAGCACCAACAAACAAGTTTTTAATGCATCACTGTTTAACTACAGTTTTATTGATTATGCTATCTTTAAATTGCAGTCATTTAATAACTGCACATTTAGAATGGAAGACTCAAGGCAATCATAAACTTTAGGAAAGCAGATTAATGAGAAAAATAAAAGTGTTTTATGGTTCATTATAGGAAGGAATGAGTAAACCTACTTTATTCTTACATTAAGATAAAAAATAACCTAACCTTTCAGATACTTTAAAAACCAGTAGTAAATCACTAAGGTGCATAACATCCAGAATATACCCCAAGCGTAGGAGCAGTGAATGAGGGGACTGACACCTACCTCTCCTTAAAACAAACACACTTCATTTTACAAGAAATTCTGAAGCGTACATAATCATAGGTAGCCTTCCATACGACAGCTCTCCTAGTCAGCTAAAAAATTACAAGACTTGAATTGCCACTTGCCCGGAGCAGCAGCTTGTTTCTTTCCATGCAACTTAACAGCTATCTCTGAAAATTACTGTGAGGAATTTTGGAGCTGCATTGGAAAGACTAGGACAGTTTTTCTCATCTGCTGTAGGCACTTGATGTACAAAAGCAGTCTTAAAGCAGATAGAAACTCCCTCTCTTGAGGATATTTCTCAAATTCTGTCAGTTTTCTCATCTATTCAGAATAAAGGAGATAAAAGGGGGTTTCTGAGCATAATTCTCCATGAGGTAAGGACACTGGTGGTCACAGACTTTATGACCATTTTTACATGGTGCCATGTACCCTAAAGCTAGGTAGTTCTGAACCTGACAGCTGCATTCAGCTGCCTGGAAACCTTCTCTGATGTGTCTGAGGTGAACCTGAATGCTAGGTAGATCAGAAATCATCAGGATTTGATTATTTTGACACAGTGGGCGAGGACGGCTACTTTGTAGTTATTTCAGATGCCAACAAAAAAACCTAAGAAGTTGAAGCTGAAGCACCAAAAACTGTCTACCTTCTGAATTATAGGAGGGACATTTGTGGAGCAGTTATGCCTTTGTTTTGCAAGAAGGAGTAATGAATTGCCTGGCCCCTTCATACCTTTGACTATAGCTGAACAAGACATAATGACGTAAAGGCCTTATTGGGTCATAAGATTCATTATCCAGCACTGCAGAAATTTTCCCTGCTTTCTAGTCCTTTGCTTTATTTCCAAAAATCTCAGTTCTACTCTTACTGTATTGACAGGTAATTTTATTAACAGATTTTTAAAAAAACCCTACACTAAACCTAGGTACAGAACATCAAACTACATTTTAAGTTTGGGATGTAATTCTCAGACTTCTCTGAAACAAATATGTCCATCTTGAACTGTCTGGATTTTTCGGGCGCTAATGACCGAATGGTTTAGAAATGCCATCTCTGTAGTCTGTATTCTTTTCCTAGTAAAGGAAAGTACATGCAACATTTTTTATTACTGCCTGACAGAGATGCTTCTGACCAGTATAAATGTTAGCCCTCTTTTTTTGTGAATGGGGTTAGTGAAAGAATACATTCATATAGAATGGATATATTCTGTGAAAAAGCCTTCAGGACACAATTTTTACTTGACCCCCATTTCAAAGAGGATTTCCTACACAAATGCTTTATATAGAGCATATTCATTAAATGCTACTATACAAAGTAACACAGTAAAAGAGGTTTGGCAGGGGAAAGAACTCTACAGACCTACCTTTCCTTTGTCAAAGTATTCTATGATCTTCTCATACAAATTCTCTTTCAAGTGCCGATAGGTCTGTGAACACTGGAACTCTGTTGACATGACTTGGGGTGCACACTGTTCGTCTGACCACTGAGAAAAACATATTAAAAATACATATGATTTTGGAGTTCAATGTTTCACACACACATATCCCCTTCCCCAAGTTCTGGTTGCTTAGGCTCTTCTAAGTGTTTTTTTCCCAGTCTTTTTTACCCTTCCACAAATAAACTGGGAAAGGCACTGGGAATGTTTTCGTTACCTCCCCAAAAAAGTGCTGTATTTCATGTGACAACCAGGATTAGACATAATATTTTAAAAACCTGTGTTGCTTCCTACCCCCAACCCAAACTTTTGTATAAAAATCTATGTGAGAAAATTCGTTCATTTTTTGGTTTTGATTTTTGGTATTAAAATATTTGCATATATTATCTTTGTCTACACCAATATATACAATATACCTCATTTTTGTATGATCAGAAAAGTCAAAATGAAGTTTAAGCAAAATAGCACTGTGAAAAGCCAGATTTATATGGTTCTGCAGTAAAAGAAATTTCATAAGAAATATCAATTTTTTGCTGAAGAATATTTAAATTTTGAATTTTCCTTTGACATGGAAATGCATCTTACTGACCATTTCTATTGATAACATCAGCTACAATGAGAATAAACATTAGTTGTAGTGGAAAATAATTACCAGCTAGAAAAGTAAGCAGACATATTTTGCGGAATGATTCATATTGTGTAAAATGAAAAGTCAGATGTCCTCCTCTGATAGGTGGAAAAAATTGCTTTTAATTTTCATCAATGTTATGTTTGGGATAGTAAGAAATTAGCAAAATGAAAGCTACACAAAAGTTAACTGGCTTCAGAATTTGCACACAATGTTCTCACTATAAAATAAAGTTATTTTTGCTACAATATTTAGTTTTACCAATATGTGGCTTTTAATCACCTATTGAAAATACAAATTCAACAATTAATATCAATTTTGTATGACCTACTGCAGTATTTTTAACTAGAAATTTGAATACCCATAAGGAAAATAACTAATATGCAGTAAATCAGAGATTAAGACAATCACTTTTTAATTTATAAATCCGAACATTGCGAAAACTTATTTATATACTGAGTTCAGAAAATCTAACCTTCAAGAGCCACGTATGGAGTAGAAGGGTATATGCTGCTTCTGTGTAATTCTCACAATCTAAATGAAGATCTCGCAATTTATACAAATATCTGTTAGAGGAGAGAACAAGAATTAGACTAGATATTGACACAACTGGAAGACTAGGTCTCAAAAAGTTCTAGGTAAACTCGCTAATGGAAACTCCGTAGACATCGTGCAATCACCACCCAAAGAGTGTTTAAGGACACTCTCACAGCTGCTCCGTACATTTGTTCAGACTTTTCAGTGTCCTCTTCGTAAGCTGTAACATTGTGCACAAAAAGAGGAGAAAGAGTTAACCACCTTCTGTGAATTGCTGTCAACTCCACCTCTAAGAGGAAGAACTACAGATTCAAGGTCTACGTCAGACCTCTGAGTTCATTACTTCTGAACCGTTACTAAAGATAGCTGCCTTTCTCTGTAGCACTTTTCAATTGCATGTAAACATTTTCCATGAAAATAGATGCAAGTGCAACAGAGAAGAAAAGGTAAAGGAGAAAATGGACAATATCAGCCCAGAAAGTCAAAGCAAGTCCCTGTACAACTTGGAAGGTGGTAGGGAGAGAAGAGTTGTTCCAGATTGTATGTCGCCAGCGTTCCCCTCGATCCCTAGGGCAGCATTGCTGCTACCAGCACAACCGTTGCTCATCATGTGACACAAACCACATCTTTTCCAGCAGCCAGAAAGAAAAAGTGCATCCCATCCTCTTACACACAACAGGAGTTTTGACACAGGAACTCTGACACCTTGCCGTAGCAGTTTAAGGCATTACCATTCCCAGTTGTCATCCCAACTGAAAATGTGTCCCCCTCAGCAATGCCCACGGATGGAGCGTGGTTTCTCCCTGGCCACTCTGGCCCATACCTCCAGGTTTAACTCTGAATCACCTTCAGTGCTCATTTCGGCTGAGATTCTGGGCTTTGTACTGCAGTTGCTGAGGTGCAGGTGGTTCTGCAGATTTTGCAGAACAAGAGGAGAGGCAGGAAATTGTCAGCTATTGAACAGCAAGATTTGCTGCAGCTCATATGCGAAACTCTTGGAGACACAAAGACGCCATGTCACATCTGAGAAAATTTGCCAGTATAGCTATAGCTCTTCCCGAAAAATGCTTTACTAGTAACTCTGCATTGCGTGTAGTGTTGCTTATTTAGAGAGACTTGGCAGACTGCACAATTCTGCAAAACTTGCATGTTTTTTCTGCCATTCTAAATGTATGATACACTCCCCATCAAACCTCAAATCTACCTGCATTTTCTTTATTTAAAACAATAGAAAATGAATGTTGAGTGAGTTGATCAACTAAAAGTTGATTCTTGGGGAAAAAAGTGCTGATGCTGAATACATATGACAGATTCCAAATTGCTGAAGGCTAAGCAAACAATGGAGTAAGAACATAAATGAGGCCAGGACTACAACAGAGTCATTGTGGAAAGTAAACTAACATTAAGTAACAGAAATCCAAGCACAATGATAAAAAAGAAGAATTCATAAAAAAGAAGAATTCATTATTGCCCTCTCCAAAACGGATCCAACAGAACGACTGCCATACCTGATATACATCTCTTCACGGTTAATGTCCTTGTAGAAATTCTAGGAACACAAACATTTAAAAGTTATCTCCTAATGTCATTTATTAAAACACAGGATAAAAATACATATGCTGAGGTTCTGCTTTTCTTGCTAGTTGGACAGCATAAGAAACACATTATTTACAGATCGTCTTAAGTTTAAACCTGGCACTACTACTTCAATTAATTACTTATTAGTATGTATTATTATTACACACACATATGTATACTTCTCCTAGGTCACTAATGAAATAATTAGAGAAAGTTTTCCTGCTGGATAAGAGGAAAATATGGTTACCCAAATGCACTAACATAGTAAAGTATGTGCTCTGGCTACACTTGATGGCCAGAAAAGCAGCTGGTATTTATTGAAGTTGATACGTAACACTGTTGAGTAATACCTCTAAAGGCGCTAATTCCAGGAATAAAGCCCATTTTTGTTACCACAGCACTTTTGCAGGTATATGAGTTACTAAAGCTGTGCAAATTATATGACATGAACTGCCTCCTGAAGAGCTGCAGAAATTTATACCACATTGCGCAGCGATTACTGACGAACAGAGACTATGTGAGTGCAATACATATTAACCGTGTTCTTGTTCCAACCTTTAAAGTTGATGAAAGTTCCTCTTCAGCTTAGAGGAATTTCCAGGTGGACGAATCTCTATACACGATATCCTCATCACAAAATAGGAATAGAAAAAAAGACAGGGTGGCCTAGATCCAGAGCAGAGACTCAAATCTTCTTGGCACTTTACTGCAAGTGTATCTTGCAGGTTTCTTCCCAGATTTAAAAACCGTAATTGTTCAGTTGCTAAAGCAGCTAGCGGGTTAGTTCCTCATGCAAAACTTGACTCTGGCAAAAGCCTGCTGTTACGTTAAGCCTACCAAAAAGCAAGAGTCTGTGCGCAGCAGACTACCTTATTTATCCACAGAATCAAATTGGATAAAATACAGAAGCAAAACCAAAGAACTGAGTGGGCGTTGCTTTCAGCTTTATGCCTAAATCAATGCAAATAGATATAAAAATCTCTTGCCTCAAAATTTAAATCACTACTGAGCATTGTCAGGAATATTTACCTTCTCCCCAGGAATATTTACCTTCATCTTCAGTAAATGGATTCTAAAGCTCTTCCCCTTTCTCACACAAGAATTACAAGAGAGAACATACCAGTAAGTTCACAGTGCAGCTCATGCGATTGTCCTTGCTTTCATCATTCATGACAGTTCGGTAATCCAGCAGTTTCTCCAAGAGGCCTTTAACTAGGCTGACAAAACTTTCAACCAAGTTAAAAATTCCAGGATACTGACACGCACACTCTGTAAGACTGCAAACACAAAAAAATGTTTTTACAATTCTGTGAAAATTCGCGGCCCATCAGCTGAAAAACCATTTGGACCTGAAGGCAAAACAAGATATTCGGAAGACAGATGGGATATAAATCAAAAGAAAAAAATGAAACATTTACTTTTCCTGTCTGAAAATGACTTCAAATTCAAGGGTATATCCACAATTTCAGGACAGAGCAACCTGCATCTGTGGTATAACAAACTCACGTCTCTGGAATGCCACGCTATTGCAATAAACACTAGCATTTCCTTTCCTCTGTTACTGTGCAACATAAAATGCAACAATTATTTCCTTCTTGTTGTAGAGTTACGTGTGAGTAGAAAGTTCAAACTTACAGAAACTACAATTTTCAGTCAGAAAAGACATTCGCTAACAAGACTTCACCAGAGCAATTTGCCTTGAGCAATAAAGCAAAACCAAACAATAAATTTTTTTGAAGATTAAAAGCAGTTAGTTCCCTTTTGATAAAAATATAAGAAAGTGAGTTTTATACGTTATCATCAGATTCCAATTTACATTAACAAAATATTAGCATATGCTGTTTCTATAAAGCGCTGAAGTGATTTAGGAGTAGATATTTCACATAACTATCATCGCTTTGTTTTCAAAGCTTAACTGTTTAAACATCATGACATGATTACCAGCATCTCGTTAAGGATTATTTTCTTTCCTTGCTTAAGAGCTTGTTTCCTCTACTTAGCATTCTGGCTTTCCATTGGGATTCTCTCTGACAAACTGCATTTTATTCTTTTATATATATATTTTTTTCACATATATATACACACATATTCACATACATATTTATAGATGCACATAGTGGGTCTGGCTGAGGTGGAATTAATTTTTCCCATAGCAGCCGTCACAGTGCTGTGCTTTGTATCGGTAACTAGAACAGGGTTGATAAGACCCCGGTCTCTGGGTACTGCTAAGCAGTGCTGGCACAGCATCAAGGCTGTCTCTCCAACACCCGTGGGCAAGATCTTGGGAGGGGACACAGTCAGGACAGCTGACCCAAACTGACCAAAGGGACATTCCATACCGTATGACGTCTGCTCAGCAATAAAAGCTAAGAGAAAGGAAGAGGAAGGAGGGCATTTGTTATTGACACCTTTGTCTTTCGGAGTAACCACTACACATACTGAAGCCCCACTTCCCAGGAAGTGGCTAGACTTGGCCTGCTGATGGAAAGCAGAGAATAAATCTTTTGTGTGTCTTCCTTTGCTTCCATGCAGGGCTTTAATAAACTGACTTTATCTTGACCCATGAGTTCTTTTCCACCTTATTTCTGCCCTCCCGATCCTGAGGAGGCGAGTGCTACAGTGGCTTAGTGCACACCTGGCATCCAGCCAAAGTCAACCCACCACAACGCACAAGGTAATTACATGTGTATTTGGCATATACTGTTAAAAACATACCAAAATCACCATGTATTCTCACAGGAAAATAGTAAAAACAAACTAGTGATTGCAAAACTATTCCTGAAACTATGCTGTGTGCTTAAGCTGAGCAGTTTCAATGACACATTATTCTTAATTTCTTACCTCTTTGCGTTTTGTTAACAGCACTCAATTTATATGGAAATACATTTCATAATTTATTACTAATCTTTAAGTACACTATTATTTTTTAAACTGTCATTATAAAGTATTAAGTTTTAATTAATTGCAAAAATAATTTTTTACTCCTCAGAATTATTTACACTTTCTTCAGAAAATACATATTCGTATTAACTTCAGCTCCAAAGAAATCCTCGAAGCTTTGGCCTAGAAGGGGACCTCAGCAAAGTACTCGGTCTCAAAGTTCTAACTCAAGCAAAGTAAAACCAGCACTTAATGTTTATTCCTTTGATCGTACAGCTCCAACAAGAGTTACTTTGCTGAGAGAGGGGGAGCGTGTACATGCATGTCTGAAAGAATATTTATACTGTACAAGATGTGACAGACGAGGCTAATAGATAAAACCAGACCACTTTAATTGCTGTTGTCTGACTAGCCTGAAATATTTAAATAAATTATTGAAACATGGCTTATGACATGACACATACTGCAAAATGAATGTTAAAATACTAAAGGGTCTGAAAAGCTGACAACTGCCGGAGAAGGCTGGAGCACGTTAAGTGATATTTGTGGAAAAGAAAGTAAGAAAGCCTCAGAGTCGTAGAGGAGATTGCAATACTATGCAGGAAAAATAGGGTTATTTTACATATGCAAGTATCAGAAACAGGGTAAGACCCTAACAAAGGAAAGTACAGTCACCATTTACGTGACTATGATGAATTTTTGCCACAGGTTCACTTGGAGTGACAGTAAACAAGGCAGACCTATGAACATTACTTGACTGTGAAATGAACATGAGTCACCAAGACATCACATTTCTTTCCGATACAAGTAGAAAAACACTGCCACAGAACACAAGCTATTGCCAGATCTCACGCAGGACACAGTACACAACTCCAGTCACTAAAGAAAGATGAACTGGAGTACATACAGAGGAGAACTACAAAACGAACAGGAGAGAGGAGTACCTGTCTCATGAGGGAAGATTAAAAAACTTGTCTTGCTCAGCTTTATACAATAATCCCAATAAAAAGGACCCATAAAACTTTAGAAGATTTTTTTTTTTCCTCCCAGGAGGGAACAAGAAACCTTTGAATTTTTAAATAGGGCTTGAAAAAAATAGAAGTTTTAATAGAAAAAATATTTTCAATAAAGCTCAAGAAAACAACTGCATAACATGGGCCACTGCAATGATGGGGAACTGGAAAGCTTCCAAATGCTATTTTCTGTTGTGCCTACATTAGTAACTAAAGCATGCCAGAATGCATTTTCTAAGCCTGAGGACAAGTGGCATAGCACAACTTGTATTCATCTAGCTAGATTCTCCCCCATTTCCCAAAAGAGGGTACCCTGTTTGTTCTGCCTATCGAGAACAGCCTCTCATCTGTTCCCTATTATCGCAATTCTCCCGTGGTGTTGTCTAGGACAGCATCCATTAGCACAGGTCATAACCCTGCCGCAGCGCACGCCAACATTTAGGACTATGGACAAATGCAAGGCAGTGCTTAAACTTCTGCGGAACCTATTTAGTTCACTGAGCACGGGCAAGTTCCCAGCAACCAACCCGTGTGGGTAAGCGTTGGTTGCAGAGCTAAGCATCAACACACAAGACAGTCAGTGACTACTGCTAAATATCTGCATTCAGGTGGCAACTGGGACTGTGCAGGAACGCAGACAGTTAAAGGAAATTAGCTGATGAAAATATGACCAAATGAATAAATCTGGAGCCCAGCATAACTGGGTCTCTATCCCGTTGGAAGAGGGAGCTGGAGGCAGAGGCTTGAAATCCTTGCTTTGAACAGTGTGAAGCTAGGAAGATTTAAGCCAACCCAACCCAACCCACCAACTGGAGAGAAGAGAACAGTGTTCTGCCACAGACCGGTCACCAGTCTCTGCTTCATCTGCCCCTCTACAGGCATCGTTAAACAACTTCAAGGACAGAACAAAAAATATTATCTGGAGATAATATGAAGTGACACCTTTAGAAATGTGGAAACCTTGAACTTGAAGTCTTGTAGAAGGTGGGAGAACATCGAGGGGAAAAAAAACAGATATATCAAAGAAAGAAGGGTACCTTGGAAAGGCAGGAAGATCAAATGCTATGTAGATGTTAGATGAGATTATTTAACTGCACTACTGAAAGATGGGGTTTAACTGGATAGGCACCAGTTCTCTAGGAGAGTATTTGAATGAAAGAGTAAACTGCAAACAAGACAAGCAGATGATGTTACACACCTCAGAAAAAGTAAACTTCAAAGAGGTTCGTACGGAAGATCTGAAGGAAGATTTTCTCTTTGCATTGATAAAGTCTCAATTTGAATACTCTCTCCAGCTGGAGAAACATTCGTTATGATAAACTGAAACATTGGGGTTGTTTACTCTAAAGAGAAGACCGAAGGAAACTTGACAGCAACTTTCAAATTTGTTAAAAGCTGCTGTAAAGAGAAACAGAATAAATGATTCTTTATCTCCCCTGTGGGTAAATCAAGAAATAATTGGCTTAAACTGAGGCAAGGAAGATTTAGTATGGATATCTGAAAACAAAAAAAAACCCCAAACACAACAACTTACTAGCAGCAAGGAGAGTTTAGCACTGCAATAAATGTCCACTGTGTCAGCTGAATCCCCAGTATCAGAGATTGTGAATTGTAGCGACAGTTTCGGCAGGCTTCGCAGTTTAGGCTTTGCAGCAGTGTGACTAAGAAAACTAAGTACTTGCAGGCCTGGTTTTGGTCATACCAAGAGCTAGTCTGAACATCTCTACATCACCTCTTAGCTATCCTAAGACTTGAAGCCAAACAGCAAACATTCAAAACTGAAAAATCAGTTTATTGCTCTTAGTTTACGTAGTCATTGCAGGTTAGGAAGTGAAAGAGAAATTTTTAAAACTTCATCTGTCCTTGCCAGTGTATTGGTTTCAAAGAATAGTTTTATACTGCTTAAAAAGTGTCAGTACTTTTACTTTTTTCAAGTCTGCCTCTCTATTTTATCTGTCTCCTCATAGGGCAGAAATTAAACTCACAGAGCAAACATTTAAATTATGTTTGATTTAAATGGCATTTCTTTTAAATTTTACTATTTAATTAGAACATAATTACATTTTATTTACATAAGATAAAATTTACATATTATTATTATTTGATTATATAATTCAGTATTTTTTACAAAATTATGTTTTCACTCAAAGTAGACTTTTTTCCATTGCGGTGTACACAAAAATTTCATGCTTCCTCTGGTGAGGGATGTGACTTTGCAAAGATTGCTACCTCCCTACACAAAATACAATACATACAAGGTAGCAGGCTTTAAGAAAGTAAAACCATACACACTCAATGTCACAAAACCTATATCAATTTTGTCAGGTAGCCAAAGTGCTACAGCATTTTTATACTTATTAACTATTAGAGTATCAATACTTGAGAAAGTGTACGATAAGCGATGTACTGATGTACTTTCTCACTGTTACAGCCTAAGGCTCAAAGCGAGGCACCAATTCTCAGAGGTAGGCGCAAGGATTCCACCGCTACCCAATATATCTCACACACTACCTGCCACAAGTGAAGACACAGCTATTAAGTCTGAGAATAACACTGAGTGTGGGCAGCCAAGAAGAGAAGGAGATGCTCTATCAGGCTTTGGGATTGTTAGAAATGCAGAAATAGAAATATTTTTATTAAATTGCAGCACTTCACAATATTCTCATTCCAGGATAGTCACCTTATATAAATTCAGAGAATCATCTCTTGCAGGCCAACCTAGGCATTGAGACAAGCAAGTAAGACATTTTAAAATACCTCCTTCTTATTAGTCTGAAATAAAACCAAGAAAGGTTATAAAGAAAAAAATAGAGAAAGACTAAAAAACTGGTGTGAATATTTGGTTATCTTTGCTTCAAAGTTGGATAGAGAAATGCAGGTTAGGCATAATTTCTTCATAATTTATCTGGAGCACAAAATACTGAAAAGCAACCAAGAAAATAGTTTCAACGAGCAAAGCTACAATTCAAACCAGGTTTACTGAAACAGTATGCTATTTCCAGTCCCTTCATCAAAAAAGCTGCTAAGATTCTATTTCATTTTTAAGTGAGGTTACAAACTTGAAAAGTGGGAACAACAAGACAAAAACACATCCTGAAGGCATTTATTCTCATGTATTACTTACATGGACTCAAACAACTGCATGTAGTGTTCATCCCCTCGTCCTCCTTCCACCTCATGGTCCAACTTCAAAATTATTTCATTTTCAAACTAGTAAAGAAAGAAACATCACAACACTGAGCAAGTATTCAGAGGTCAAACACATTTCCTATGGCATCAAAAGAATATCTTTGTATAGTTGTACCACATATTCCCAAGGGTTACATTCTTGAATATATTCCAGTTGAATAATGCACATCTGACTATCTCCAGATACCTGATAAAACCACCTGAGGAAACAGGCTTACAGTGCCTGCATTAGGGGTTTTCACAGAACAGCTGTAATTTGAAATGCAGGATTTCAGAGTAATTAGAATCACTTTCACCCAGATAAATTAAGAACAATCCTACAGTATATAACACCTTCTTTAATTGCTATTGGTCAGGTCTATCTAGAGTCTAATTAGGAAACAGCAGCATATAAACAAAGACAGAAAACAAGTTATTTTTGTAGTTAAACACAATTCTTTCCCCTCTACTGCATCTTTTTTTCAACTTTACAGTTGTGACACCGCTTCTTTTGGAGCCATCAGCAGCCTTATTTCCCTACTCGTAAGGTCAAAAAGTACCTTCTTCCCCCCTCTGAATTGAAAATCAATCTATGCAGCCTGTGTGCATACAATGAGAGAAAACCTGCTAATATTTCTCCACTGGTCACACCTTGTTAGCTATCACTCATCAGCCAGCTCTTACAACTCCAAGGCTTCAAGGTTTCCTGTTACCCCAAACTTTGCTTTCAGAGAAGCACTACCTCCCAGTCTGCAGTCACCCTTGAAACTTCAACCTAACTACTGCACTCAGTCATTTCTAGAATAAATTTTTTGACACTGGGTATCCGAAGACGTTATCTATATTATTTACTTGCCGTTCCTGTTACACCCTGTAACAATCTCTCATATACTCTTCAGGCAGTTTTACATAATCAAGCAAGGGAACAATAGCTCACGATATTCAGAAAAAGATAAAGTTTGTCGCACAGGGAAAGAAAAAGTTATCTGGAAAACCAGTGCAAACTTGTGAAATTATTGGTACAAATATGCACGGAAATTGTCAATGACAATGGCCTGACATCTTTAGAGTGTAATAAACTTCAGCAACATCTCCGGAGAATTTCTAGGTAATACACCATTAACATACCATAGTAATATACCATTACCTCTTAAAGAAATGGCAGTACATGTTGGATTATATTTTAACCCAGCAGGATGATACTTTAATTATATAAAGCCTCTTTAAAATGTTATTGTAATTTGTCATTTCAAAGCCTTTGCAATACATTACGCACAGGAAACTGCTTTGTCATTTAGAAAGGGTTAATCCAATCTAACACGTTTAGATCAGAATTCGTAATTAGTTTGCAATGCCTTTACCACATATTATGCAGACTGCATTCAGATCCAGGAAATTAAAACCGTGGAAACTATAATCACAGAATCATAGAGCCATTATGGTTGGAAGAGACCTCAAAGATCATCAAATCCAACCTTCTACCCAACGCCACTGTGCCTACTAAACCATATCTCGAAGCACCACATCTAAACATTTTTTGAACACCTCCAGGGATGGTGACTCCACCACCTCCCTGGCGAGCCCATTCCAGCGCCTAACGACTCTGACAGTGAAGAAGTTCTTCCTAATACCCAACCTGAACCTCCTCTGGCGCAACTTGAGACCGTCTCCTCTTGTCCTAAATAATACACAGATATGGCTTGTTTGGGTTCCCCTGCCACACCTTTCCAAGCACCTTAAAGCATTAAGATTTCCATGTTCAAAAAATGTCCTCAAATAGTCGATATTTATGTATCATACTCCTAACAGAAATACAAAATATAAGTTGGTTTTTTGGTGTTTTTTTTTCCCTCAATATAAAATGAAAAATACCGGGTGTGGGGGGCAATTTCCAGCTGGAAATTTACTGGGAGAGGGTTCAAAGGAAAATATATCCCATTAATATCGACCAGTGTAGGCCCAGGCATTTTGAACCAAATTACCGGGTGTACTAGCCTATTGTTGTCCTTCAGACATGATCTGAAAGAACAACAAAAAATGTTCAAAAAATAAAGTGTTTTAAAATAACCATATATATCAATCTTGGAAAACAGAAATCAAATTATAATTAATGTAATATTAAAATATTGCATGGTAGAAAATAAATTAGTTCAGTAAACTCAGCAGAAAAAATATTAATATTAAAATACTGCAGGTTTTAAAATTAAAAAAACCCAAACCAAACAAAACCACTAAAAATCTGCCAGTCCATTAGTGTAATTTTTCCCAAGCTTCAAATATGAAGTTGTGAAGAAGCAGGTGTCTTTTTGCATCTGCAGGTTGGAAACTCAGCACAAATATAAGCACACCACCAATGGAAATGCCCTTCAAGGCAGAGCCATTCTTCTATTAACCAAGCTCTAGCTCTGACTACAATGGGAATACTTTTTAGACTCTCTGGTTAGCTAAGTCAGTTTGACCTTGCTCTGTGCTTAGCCTTTACGGAACACCTTTGTTGCTTCTAAGCCTCTTGCCTGATAATTTTCTTTGATTCTTCATGCTTTGACATCTCTTTTTGGCTTGTTATATGAAAACCCTAGCATTTATAAAAGCATTCCAAGATTCATCAGCTTGATTCACAGTCCAGGCTTTCAGCAGTGCTGAACATCCACGTTCACTAAGCTTCCGTTTCATTTGAGTGTGCCCTCTGAAAGGAAGTGTGATACATGAATCTCAAAGTCCTAGTGCAGCTACAGTCATTCTTTGCTCTCATCCAAGTCATTGCATCATGTTCAGATATTGTATGAGAAAACGACTTGATAGAGATTTGTAAAGAATCTGCATAGTTAGAGAATTACAAGTTTTCAATGCCAACACTTTTGTAAAATTTTCTAATTTGGCGGTCAATGTCTTCTTTATGCAGTCACAACACATCTCAGTCTCCTTACCCCAAGATTTGTACTAAAATCTTTGAGTATCATACGAATAAATTACTCAGGTGAGGCAAAATTTAAATTCATATATATATTAAAAAACCCATATTCATATCTATTGAATGTTTCACACTGTTACACACAGCACGGTGAGGTGGCAGAAAGACTGCTTGTTTATGTGGTCTGTCCTATCGCCCTATGCATCAACGAGAGACATACTAAAGAAGAAAGATTGCTTGTGCTCTGAGAGAAAGCACACATGCTAGGGAGCGAAGCATGCAGAAGAGTGCAGATAAGATGACAAATAAGTGCAGATAAGACAACATTTGAGAAAAGCAGGAAGCAAGTCTAAAAGAGACTTTTCCAGGTGCTAAAGAAAAATCTGTGTCTTAGTAAAATCTAGCTTCAGATAAAAGAAACCTTGGCATAGTATTTTCAGGAAGAGGTGGGAAAGATCTACCACAAGGTTCTAGACAAGCCATTAACACATCAAGAGGCACAGAGAAAGCACTAGAAAAACCAGGAGATCAACACTGAAATAGAGCTCTGTTGCTTTACACAGATATAATTATTAAAATCATTGTAAAAATGACAGAATTCACTACTGAACTAACACAGCAAATTTTCACATTTTTCCTTCTCAAAATCTCACACAGTTTTCAGTATATGAATATTTCTGTTTTTTCCCTGGAGTATTTCTGTGTAACTGAGAGCTTTGGCAGACTGGGATCCAAATCATCCCATCAGAGAACTGGAAGCCTTTCAAAAACAATTAACTATAATATTTTATATATGCTACTATCAGACAACTGCAATACAAGATATTTTTTTTCCTTTCTTAAATATACCCTCATCAAAAAGTTCAGCCCTAAGCTGAAGAAGCCAAGCCCAAGGCTACATATAAGAAAATAGTTGTTCCCCTTAGAACACCAAGCTGGTCATGCATATCTTCAGAGTAATGTTTTGGAAGGGACAATTCCTTTGGTTGTAGAGAGCACGACATTCTAACTAAAAACATGTTACTACAGGTACTTCCTTCAAGTAGGTAATGATTAAAACTTTCCACTCAGAAAAATTACTCAGCGTTTTTCAATAACGAAGACCAAGCACTCCCCATTTTTCTCCACAGTATTTGATATTCTTCATTTTTGTCCTGAGATTCAGCTAAACAGGACCAGCAAATGTCAAAGAAAGTTATTCCAGAATATAAGCCAATCAAATGATTTTGCCCCTAAAATCAGTGAGTCCAATTATGGACTAAAGATGGATTAAAGAAACAGATTTATAAGCTACATAATATGTAAAAATCTCTGTTTCAACATCCTTAGATCCATCCCTGAGAGAAAACAAAACAAAAAAAAAATCCACTTTCTATTCAAATGCAAAGTTAAGATAACTGACACATGTTACATGCTTGCTACCCATTCACTGTAGAATTGCTCAGGTTTCACCTTCTGACAGCAACGAGTACAATTCCCTCCTGCGACAGAAGAACCAGCAGGGTTACCCAACCAGTATTGATCGACGACAGCAGGACGCCATGCATCCAACCCCGCATCCACTGTGTTAGCCCCATGTTGCAGTCTGCTCTTTAGACAGAAGACTGAAGCGAGCCGTTGCTTCTTTCCAGGAGCTTTGAAACAGTGTTTTCAGTGGCCTAACTTCTACACTCAGCACACAAACAGCAAAAAATGAGGTGCAGAAAATTAGGCAATACAGATACACTCTTATTTTCTCTGGAAGGAGTAGGGAGGAAGGAGCAATTTTAACCACTTCATGTTTCTCAGACCAAGTCAAAACAACAAAACCACAGCTGTAAATCTGTGAAACCAAAATTGTTTGTATGATTATAATGTAGCACCAGACAGATATACTTCAAATGGAAATATTTAAATGCTTCACAGGGGTTCGGTGAGATACACAAGAACTTGGATACAAGTTGTGCACATACTATGTAATGGCATAGACAGGCGACTTCTCCAGGTCAGCACCAGGTATAGCATATTTCAAGATGTTCAGGAAAATATATATAGCACTGTTTTAAATGGATAGAGAATGGTTAAAATATTCTGCTGCCTGCATGAAGGGGAAAAATGAGAAAATACGTTGCTATTTATCATCATTGAGATGCCTACATATAAAAGGTCATTGCCGAATGTGAATTTGCAAATCTGAATATAGTATGCGTATGAGAAACATTAATAGCAGCATAGGACTAACTCCGGCAGAACAGAGCAGCATGTAGTCATCCAGTACTTCACAGAAGTTGGCAGTAAACGTTTCATCTCTGTGGCATACTGAATATGCTCTACCCTGCTCCTCAAAATACTTCATGACTTCAGATCTCCAAGTCTCCATTTAAGAACTATTTCCCATAATGTTCTCAGATAAAACAATAAATTGTTCAGTAGAAACAGTAATCTCAATTTCTGATACGAGTGAAAGGAAAGGACTACACCGTTAGTACTATTTCTTAATTATTTTTTGTATAGGAGTGTCAAATAAGAGGGAACTTTTTTTTTTTAAAGGCCACAAAGAATTCTGGTTCATCGGGAGTACCAATACACTGTGATCCAGAACAATTCTTTGTCCTCTTCCTTGCAGGTTTTGCTGCTCTAATATTAGCTGATCTCTGTAATTAGAATACAAATTAAAGACTTCCAGTGAACAGTATCTAGTATACCAATACTAGAGAATACAGCTATCATTGAAATATAGAGAAACAGAAAAAAAACCTTACTCTCAACGATCCAGGCTGAAAAAGAAGTTTAAAGGGCTCAGAAGTAATTTCTCTGTGTAAGTAGTACGTGTATTAGTGTATGTATGCATATGGGTAACATGGGCACATAGCAGCTTCAGGACAAGGCAATATTAAGCAAAAAATCCAATCCACTCATTTTCTAGAGATGAAGTCTGTGGACTTACTGCAGTAAGACAGAAATCTATGAATATAGTACAAGTCAAGCACCAGTTAAAAATCATTCACCTCTTACATCCTCCCTAGTACTTATTCAGCAGGTAGAGAATTGATTACTTCTCTAAGAGGCAATAATTTCACAGATGCTGGATCTGAACAAAAAAACCTCTTCCTAAGCATCTTTCCTGCAGTTTCTCAACAAGCTGCAAAAAAGCCAGTTGCTTGAACCAAAATAAATAAAAAAGCTGGCAGAAATATAAAGTTTTAATGTGCTTGTGTCAAAATTAAGCCCTGGAAAGGGTATTTCTCCTTTAACTTAAACAGAGCATGCCTAATTGTCATTGGCACCAATTTGGCTTTAAAACCACCTGCTTATCTATCTAATAGATCCAAGAAATCTCCACGTCTCTGAACACACTTCAATACCAAACCACAAAACATCTCCATTTTTTCTACACAGATCTGTCTGAAGCACCAAGCCATACAAACTTGGTTTCTGCTAATGGGTTGATCTCACATCCTTCCGAAATCCTTATGCATAACAGAATTTCAAGAACTGAGAGTAAGAACTACGGGTATTTACAGCAATTTTAAATCACACGCACCAGAGGAGCTTGCTGAGAACACCTACATTCACTCACTTAGTAACCTTTTACAGCTGTTGGCTCAGAAAGATAGGAGACTCCAAGAGGTTCGCCAAGAATAAACATCTAATGCTATCAATAACTAATGTAAGCCCAAGAACACCCCAGCGGTCAGCACTCTTTTCTGACACAGCCCAACAACAGTCAGGAAGGAATGCAAATGTAGAAGACTTCACCAGATGGCTTCAGCAAATGGTGGAACCAATGAGAGATACTCAATTGAAAATACCGAACACAAACAGAATTACTTACTTGAACAAAAATGTAAACACCGTTGAATTAATCTTTCCTAAGCCAACTTAAATCCTAACATAACTTGGATCCATGTTTATTTAAATGATATTTTCATTTAGTGTGCAAAGAGCTAATCTTTTTGGGTGCTTGGTTTGTGAAATAAGCTTTTGGCCTCAGATTATCAGTTAGAACAAATAGTACTAGGTTGCTTGATGATGTGTCTTTCTTTGGGAAGTCTTCATAAAATGTACAACTTGATCTTTCAAGGGAAGATGGGTTATCAACATTTGGAGGATGGGATTCCTGTGTCCAACATACAGGCAGCTAGCTTCCCTTTATATTTGAAGAAGGGAATACATTGGCAGGAGTAATTCTATTCACAGACACTGAATGTAAGTTGGATAAATTGCCTTTCCAAGATTCCTAGCTCTCTAAACTAATGATAGGCAGAGCCTTGATGGCTAAAATTAGTACATATTAATGGCTTCCTCCCTACATCTTCCATTAAAGTTAAAATTACAAGCTTGTATAACATCCCTTCTCGGTGAATGCAAGTTACAGGCGCAAAGTAAAATGAAGGATCATGAGGAAAATGCCTTACTACACCATACACTTATGTAAATATTCCATTCCATTAAATACATATGTATAGTATGTCATTCTTGAGATAACCAGAGGTGGAATTTTGTTTTCTCTAGGATTAGTTGATTTCCCAGAAATAGCTAAAATAAAATTCTCACTTGATAAATTTAAATAAATATATATCCTTACTGTACATGCATTTTATGCATAAAGCAAGACAGCCTCTTCAGCTAGCACCAACACAACATGCGTGTCCACCCAGAACGGAGCACTGCTGCACAGATGCTCAGCACAGTACCACATCAAGTTAACAAAATCAATCTTTTTGGTAAAGTTTATTAAATCATCTGGTAGCTATCAGACAAGCTCTAGTTCCAGTCCTGGTACAGACTCACCTAGTAAAGATGTCTCTGTCTGTGCTTTTGCCCCCTCTCTCATTAGAGAAGATTAGAGTAGAAATAAATTACTGGGTTAAGTTCAGCAAAATTATATTTTAATTGAATATTAATCTAGGCTTCTGAGTGCCTAAGGCAGTCTTGAAATAATGTTATCATTCTCAAAATTTCATACTAAAGCTTTAAGAAAATATCCTTTATAATACTAAATGCCAATTTGTATACAAAAATTGTGCACTAGCAAAAACTAGAGTTTATGTGTTTGTGTATCAAATAATTTTCCATTCATATTAATTCGTTGCCCTTTCTAATTAAGATTGTAACAATTTTAAGTAATAAAACCTAATGTGCCTTTCCTTTAAAATATATATTTTTTAAAACTTACCCAAATTGCCAAACTTACAGATGCAAGTTTAAGAAATGTATCTTAATTACTTCATCCATAGGAAAGAAGAGACTAAAATCCACAATTCTTGACCAGTAAGTGATTGCAATTTCTAAAGCGGAACTTTAGAATCCAACGAGGCTCAACTGCTTAATTATGAAATAGTTTTAGTGCCTTCTGGTAGAAATTATCTAGTTTTAAGCTGCAATAAAGTGAACATCCTTGTTCCTCAACACTGAAAAAATATCACCTGAAACTTACTTATATTAGCCTAAGAAGTGATTTAAGGGTCATCTACATGTCTGGCATCTTCCAGACTCCTAAGCTGTTATTCTTGTTAATCGGTCAGTATAACTGATGAGTTTTCCAGGATTTTTGGTCTGTACAGATCTGTGCATCTCTCCCAGGAGATGAAGTATAAGCCAAGAGCAGGAAAACACTTTTAAGGCGGCAAATACAGGACTATTAGGACATGGAGGGAACAGATGCACAGAAGCAAAGTGGTTTTTAATCTTGGCCGTGAACCAAAAGCTTTGCACTGTGGAATACAGACCAAAATGGAAATTCCATCTGCTTGTTTGTTTCACAGTTAGTTGACACAGAAATGCCCCACATGATTTAAAGCATTAAACATAGTTGGTTATATGAGATATTTATATTTACTTTCCTATGAACATCTAAAATTATGACTTTTTGTTTGCCACTTACACAGATTGTTCTGAATTAATTATCTGTGTAACTACAAAGCCTGAATCTCCAATGTCAAGTTTACTGCGAAAGGCAGTCCGCAAACACAGAATAAGGTGAGTCCATGCCCAAAGAGCTTGCAGAGAATGGAAAAGTCAGTTAGGAAAGAATGTCAGAGAGCAACTGGAATGCATCAAACTCTGCCTAAGGGCGGATGAAGAATGAGTCGAGAGCTTATGGGTAAGAATTAAGGGGCGGGCTAATATGGGTGACCCTGTTATGGGTGTTTACTACAGGCCGTCTGATCAGGATGGGGAAGTTGACAAGGCCTTCTACAGACAGCTGAAAGCAGTCTCACGATCACAGGCCCTGGTTCTCATGGGGGACTTCAACCAGCCTGATATCTGCTGGAAAGACAACACAGCCAGGAAAACAGTCCAAGAGTCCAATGTTCAAGCACCACTTCCTCCAGGCTCAAGACCGGTGCATCCCTATGGTAAGAAATCAAGCAAAGGGGGCAGGAGACCTGCATGGATGAGCAAGGAGCTTCTGGCAAAACTCAAATGGAACAAAGAAGTTTATGGAATGTGGAAAAAGGGACAGACCACTTGGGAGGAATACAGGAACGTTGTCAGGCTACGCAGGAAGGCTAAGGTCTACTTGGAATTACATCAGGCAAAGGATGTTAAGACAAGAAGAAGGGCTTCTTCAAACACAACAGTAGCAAAAGGA